AGGGATAAACGTCGACATTTTAGACAAAGTCTCCTAATTTTAGGGACTAATGTCATTTTTAACGCGTCTCCTATTTTTAGGGACCGACGTTAACCATGTTAAAAAATTTACAAATAAGCTCAAAATATAATAGCATTTGAATCAAATAAGAAAAACACACAAGTAAAGGTAACATTTTTCTGAAAGGATGTTTTAAGGGTGGTGCCTACCTTCCATTAATCATAACTAACCTAGTACCCGAATCTCTGGGATCGGTGTCTAATTTTAGATTTCTAGTTTCCTCAAATTACTAGATGGCGACTCCAATAAAATCTTTATTTCCCCTAATCAAATAAAAACTAAATTATTCTTTTTTTGTTTTAAAAAAAGCAAACTAAACGTCATGTAGCGACAAATATTATCGAAAAATTTTAAAATATCATTTTTTATATTAATGAAGTTTATATTCAGAGCATGCAATTAACAACTCAATAAAAATTGATAAAAAAAATCAAATAAAATTATAATTCTTTCCTAAAAAATAATATTGTTCCTCAAATATCTCATGTAATATTGCTGGAAATTAGTTTTTAAGCTAACTTTTAAAATTTATCTTGTATCAACCTAGACCATTTTAATAACAAGGAGTTTAGTTAGTGTATTCGGTAAACAGTATTGAATATTTTATTAATTCAAAACTTTCATTTAAATACTTTTAAAAATGTTATGGTGTATAAAAAGATGTTGTAAAATTTTTAAATTTAAATTGTAAAAAGTACATAAAACTTGAATGACAAGTAAAAAAATTTAATGATGGAGAAAAATTCTTGTACTAATTCTATTTTTAACAACCAATTAAAAAAACAGCTGAACTTTTATAATAGCCCTTTTAATTTAGATGCGGCTTCAAAAACTCTATAATTAACACATGATATTGTGAAACCACCCTAATTTGTCAACAATGTTAAGCACCAATTTGTTAACAATGTTAGGCACCAATTTGGTGCCACCTACCTTGCCCTTGTCTTTTGCGTGGATG